GCAACCTCCGCCTCCCGGGTTCAAGCAATTCTCCTGACTCAGCTTCCCGAGTAGCTGGGACTACAGGCGCACGCCACCACGCCCAGCTAATTTTTGTGTTTTTAGTAGAGACGGGGTTTCACCATGCTGGCCAGGATGGTCTCGATCTCTTGACCTCGTGATCCGCTCGCCTCAGCCTCCCATAGTGCTGGGATTACAGGCTTGAGCCACCGTGCCCGGCCTAATTTTGTGTTTTTTTTCAGTAGAGACAGAGTTTCTCCATGTTGGTAAGGCTGGTCTCACACTCCCGACCTCAGGTGATCCACCTGCCTCAGCCTCTCAAAGTGCTAGGATTACAGGTGTGAGTCGCTGTGCCCAGCCCCTTAGATTATTTTTAATTTACCTGTTGATTTATTTTTTTTTTTTTAAGAGATAAGGTCTCTCTCTGTCACCCAGGCTCGAATGCAGTGGTGTCATGGCTTACTGCAGCCTCTACCTCCTAGGCTGAAGCAGTCCTCCAACCTCAGCCTCCTGAGTAGGTGAGGTGTACACCACCACACCTGGCTACTTTTTGTGCTTTTTAGTAGAGATGGATTTTCATCATGTTGCCCAGGCTGGTCTTGAACTCCTGAGCTCAAGCAATCTGGCTGTGTCTGCCTCCCAAAGTGATTTTCTTTAAAATTTTTCTAGGTCACTGCCTTCTTTTCAACACTAGATGGAATCTTAAACCCGCGTTTGTGTCTGCTCTAGCAAACAATCAAGAATACTGCCATCTAGAATGGGGGAGGCACCAAAGGCATATCCCAGCAGTGTGGGAAGGCTGGCTGTGTGTTCATGCCCAGGGGCCTGTGTAGCATACCCTATAGTGTGGTCCTCCTGAATAGCCATTCTGATTTGGTTTCTCCTTTGGCCAAGTTATAAAACAGAGTTTCCAGGGCTTCGGATGGGAGTCCTGCCTCTCCTCTTTTTCCCTGGATGTCCTCAGGGATATTTCTCCCTTTAGGCACTTGTGATGCTTCCTGTGGGTTGAGACAGGGAGGGACTGATCTTTTACCAGGGAACCCAGGATGGTGGAGAAGGTGGTTGTCCACCTTGATCTCAATTATTTCCATTGTAGAAACTGAATCGGTAGAAATTTTCCACATTTTTGGTGCTGGGCAGATTAAAGAAAAGGGTCGCAGATATGGAAATTTGATTCTCTTACCGCCTCCTTGGAGTTTTTTCACTTTGTAGCCCCAGACACTGTCTAGTTTTTATATTTGAGATCAGGGATATTGCTAGTGATAATTTTCGTAATGTGTATTTGGTTTTGGTTTTCTGGAAGGGGAGTGAAACCAATTAATTTGCTTCTGTACTACCATTTTGAAATTATAAATGCAGCATGTTTCTAATAAAGTCGTCTGAGGTATTTTCAGTTAGGGTACGGTGGTTCATGCCTGTAATCCTAACAGTAGGAGGCTGAAGTGGGAGGATTGCTTAAGGCCAGGTGTTTGAAACTAGCCTGGTCAACATCAAACCCCGTGTCTATAGAGGAAAAAAAAATTATTAGCCAGGCGTGGTAGTATGTGTCTGCAGTCCCACATATTTGGGAGTCTGATGCAGGAGGATTGCCTGACCCCAGGAGTTTGAGGTTGCAGTGAGCTATGATCACACCACTGTAATCCAGTGTGGGTGACAGAGTAAGACCCTGTCTCTAATTTTTTTTTCTTTTCTCCTGGCCTCGTGATCCACCTGCCTCGGCCTCCCAAAGTTCTGGGATTATAGGCGAGAGCCACCTGGCCCGGCTTTTTTTTTTTTTTTTTTCCTCTCTCTAATTTTAAAAAATATGTTTTCCACTTCCTACTCATTGTATATGATCAGTATAGTCGTGTCAGCATGGTGTACCAATGTGGTGTTTCATGGAATGTCATTTTCTCTGGGAACTATATTATGGCAAAGACCTGGAGAACTGACCCAGCCTGGGGGCAATGCTGTGAAGATTCATTGTTTGTCCTGCCAGGTAAAAGGTAACTGAGTTTTGTTATTTTATTTTATTTATTTATTTTTTTGAGACGGAGTTTCACTCTTGTTACCCAGGCTGGAGTGCAATGGCGCGATCTCGGCTCACCGCAACCTCCGCCTCCTGGGTTCAGGCAATTCTCCTGCCTCAGCCTCCTGAGTAGCTGGGATTACAGGCACGCGCCACCATGCCCAGCTAATTTTTTCTAGTTTTAGTAGAGACGGGGTTTCACCATGTTGACCAGGATGGTCTCGATCTCTTGACCTCGTAATGCACCCTCCTTGGCCCCCCAAAGTGCTGGGATTACAGGCGTGAGCCACCGCGCCCGGCCTTGAGTTTTGTTATTTTTAAATTGGTATGGGGAAAAGACATTAGCTGTGTCAGTACCTGCATACCACGTGACAGGAATTATGTTTATTGGTCCTAGTATAGATATCACAGTTTGTAAAATGGCTGTAATTAAAGTAATCACCTAAGTTCGTGATTTGTGAATGATTTAGGTGTGGTAATTGAATGAGAGGTCATGATTATCCACTGGGATAACTCAAGTTTTTGGCTACCATAATTTAGACTTTTTTTTTTTTTTTTGAGACAGAGTCTTGCTCTCTCCCCAGGCTGGAGTGCAGTGACATAATCTCGGCTCACTGCAGCCTCTGCCTTTCAGGTTCAAGTGATTCTCCTGCCTCAGCCTCCTGAGTAGCTGGGACTACAGATGTCACACCTAGCTAATTTTTGTATTTTTAGTAGAGACGAGGTTTTACCATATTGGCCAGGATGGTCTCAATCTCTTGACCTTGTGATCCGCCCACCTCCCAAAGTGCAGGGATTACAGGAGTGAGCCGCCACCCCCAGGCTAGACTTGCTTTACATAGATAGAGCAGTATTCAAGTACAGAGATTGGCACACCATGGCCCATAAGCCATGTCTGTCTCTCCACATGTTGTTCATATGTAAAGTTTAATCAGAATACAACCGTGTTCACTTGTTTATGTTTTCTATGATGTTTTCCATGCTACAACAGCAGAGTTGAGTAGTTGCAACAGAGACCGTATGGCCCATAATGACTAACATATATTTTGTGGCTCTTTAGAGGGGGATTCGTTAACTGCTTATCTGTTTCATTTCTACGGACAACACGATTAGTTAGCCACCCTCACAGATCTCTGTAGGTCAGGGCATTCTGATTACTAGTACATTTCCACTGTCTTTGATAGTTGATTTGCTCACCTTGTCTTTGGTAATTAAATACTACTCTCTTGATTTCTGCTATTCTGGGTCCTCTTCATCTCGATTGAAATCAGGGAACTCATCTCAGCCATGGTATTCATTGCAGTCATACCTGTCCTATGAAGAATACTAGCAGAGCTGTTCGAGGAGTACGATACTCCTGTCACTCCTCTCTCAATAACCTTTGTGAAGAGAGTGTCTTCTGCACTCTCAACAGAGGACGGGGAAGTGGGCTATACAGATGACACATAGTAAATCCAGTGACACTCCTGTCTCTAGGATTCCCTCTTTCCCATTATACCAGGGAAGCTCTGGCATATGAGCCTCATTAATTATAACAGTTTCAGGTCTGAGAACATAAGAAGTAGCTTTATTTCAGGGCTGTCCTAAAGAAGCTCTCTGAGTTTTTTTCTTTCTTTCTTTCTATTTTTTTTTTTTTTTTTTTTTTTGAGACAGACTCACTCTGTTGCCCAGGCTGGAGTGCAGTGGGATGATCTTTGTGCACTGCAGCCTCCGCCTTCTGAGTTCAAGCGATTCTCCTGCCTCAGCCTCCTGAGAAGTTGGGACTACAGGCACATGCCACCACACCCGGCTAATGTTTGCATCACCTGAAACAGGTCAGGCGGTGGCAGAGGTTTCAGTGAGCTAAGATTGTGCCACTGTACTCCAGCCTATGACAGAACAAAAATCCATCTCAAAAAAAAAGAGGGAGAGAGAGAGAGATATAATACACCCATGATATGAAAAAAGCTCCAAAAGGCACAATATTCAAACTTTTGACAACACTATGAAAAAAACAATGATCTCTGCCTAGCATGGTGGCTCAAGCCAGTAATCCCAGCACTTTGGGAGGTCAAGGTGGGTGGACCACCTGAGGTCAGGACCAGCCTGGGCAACATGGTGAATCTCCCCTTGTCTACAAAAATACAAAAACATTTAGGCGGGCATGATGGCGGGTGCCTGTACTCTCAGCTGCTGGGGAGGCTGAGGTGGGAGAATCGCTTGGACCCAGGAGGTGGAGGTTGCAGTGAGCCAAGATCTCGCCATTGCATTCCAGCCTGGGCAACAGAGTGAGACTGTCTCAAAACAAACAAAACAATGATTTCTCTTTGCACTTGCATTATTTCCTATTTGAATGAAAGTTTTTAATGGTTTTTATTTTAATTTTTTGGAGACAGGGTCTCACTCTATCATATAGGCTGGAGTACAGTGGTGCACATGGCTTCTTGCAGCCTCAGCCTCCCAAAGAGCTAGGATTACAGGCATTAGCCACTGCATCCACTCTTTCCTGGTTTTTAAATGTGTATTTAAGCCTGAATGGTGGATATTGGGTCAGAGATAACTGATCTCCTCAGGGCACAAAAGATGAGATACATGAAATTTGAGCTCTTTTATGTTTTTTTTTTTTCTTTTTTTTTGAGACGGAGTTTCACTCTTGTTACCCAGGCTGGAGTGCAATGGCGCGATCTCGGCTCACTGCAACCTCCACCTCCTGGGTTCAGGCAATTCTCCTGCCTCAGCCTCCTGAGTAGCTGGGATTATAGGCACGCGCCACCATGCCCAGCTAATTTTTGTATTTTTAGTAGAGACGGGGTTTCACCATGTTGACCAGGATGGTCTCGATCTCTTGACCTTGTGATCCACCCGCCTCGGCCTCCCAAAGTGCTGGGATTACAGGCTTGAGCCACCGCGCCCGGCCTAAAATTTGAGCTCTTTTAAAATAGCTTCACTGCTCTCTTTAGGAATACAGTTAGTTTTTCTTGGATAGATTTGTCATCTCTTGTATAAGCCTCTTCCATTGATGTGTCTTTCCATCTGCACAGGACCTGTTCAAACTCAGTCTGTGTCTTGACTGGAGGAGGAGGAGGAAAAGTTGAGCACATTGCCAATAGGAGTTCTCCAAGGTGAGTGTGAAGAACATTCCTGGTCAATGAGAAGTTCAGTGTGTTTGGAATATAATGAAGACATTTAAAAGATGTACTTTGTCACAGAACATGGGGCCTTTGGACTTGGAAGTTTTAGGGAATCTTCAACTTTCCATATTCCTCTCTTTTTCATCTAACCCAGACTTTCATATGATTTTGCAAACAATCTGCTCTTTTTTCTTTTTATGATTTCAATGTGTGCTTTTCATCCAGATCGTTCCTACTTTTCTTTCCTAATAATACCGCTTCTGTTCACTATCGTTTAATTTCTACAGAATAAATTGTTTAAAAAAATTACTAAATTGCCAGGCACAGTGGCTCATACCTGTAATCCCAGCACTTTAGGAGGCTAAGGCGGGCAGATCACTTGAGATCAGGAGGAGGTGAAGACCAGCCTGGCCAACATGGTGAAACCCTGTCTCTACTAAAAATACAAAACTTAGCCAGGTGTGGTAGCACTCGCTTGTAGTCCCAGCTACTCAGGAGGCTGAGGCAGGAGAATCTCTTGAACCCGGGAGGCGGAGACCAGTCAGCCAAGTTCATACCACTGCACTCCAGATTGAGCAACAGAGTGACACTCCGCCTCAGGGAAAAAAAAAAAAAAAAGAACAGCTACAATTTGGGTGACCATGTGATTAAGTTTATGGTAGTCCAGTCATTCTCCAAGATTAATGTGACTTCTGCACAGGGCAGAGTAGTATGTTTAATGAGAATGAGGAAGTAGTAAGTATCGTAACCCCTGGCCCTTATGGTGGCGTTATTCTTTGTAGTTCCCCAGGATATATTACTTCTAGTTTATTATATTAGCAGATGAGTAATTCCCAGTGCCTCCAGTTTGCTTTTTCTACCATAATGGTCCTCACCTTACTGATCAGAGAGCCAATTTTAGGCATGCTGCTAGTTCCCAGAAATTGCTGTCTTCCGATTATATATTCAGGAACTGGGGAAATAATGATGGAATAGGTCCATAGTTCAAGTGGGCCCTCGATAAGTACAAATGTGTTAAGACACTATCACTGAACTACCTAAGTCTTCACTTTGATAGTGGCCCACAGTGGTCTTTTGGGTCCTCAGAATATGGTTTCAGCTCGGGGCCACTTTGTTAATTCTCTATATTTTCTTTTTTTCTCAGATGGAGGCTCACTCTGTTGCCCAGGTTGGAGTCCAGTAATGTGATCTCAGCTTGATGCCTCCTGGGATCAAGCAATTCTCCTGCTTAGGCTATAGAGAGCTATGATTGTGCCACTGCACTTCAACCTGGGCAACAGAGTAAGACCCTGTCTCAATAGATAGATTGATACATAGATAGACAGAGTTATTGATAGCTATTGGGAAAGATGGTTATGATAATTATGTGACCATGTATGTATAAAGCTACTAGAGCTACTTCTGACATACTAGTCCTTAGTAAATGTCAGTCGCCATTATTAATACTGTCGTTACTGAGTGACGATATTGAGTGGATATTTTGGTGGCTTTCACATCTGTCACCTGCAGAGAGAAAGCTGATGCATAATGTTCGATGACTGATGTTTGATATTTGCTGTTTGATGATTGATATGAACAGGACCACAAACAACCGTGTACAAAGAGGAGTGGAGATTGCCTCTCTCCACCTAGGTTCATAAGCTTCCCTGAGGCAAACTTGGCATGAAGGAAGAGAGAGCATTGAGGCACATCTCACAATTAACTTCAAAGGATGGCAGCCATTGATTTGTCCTGTGGTAAGTCCTTGTTGATGCTCTTTTTCAGAGATTCTGCATTAGGTTACCTGCCACAACATAAGAGTGCAGTGAGCTGGGACTGAGCAGGCATGCCGCTGGTTCTCTTTTTTTGTTTCATTTTGTTTTGTTTTTTTGAGACAGAGTTTTGGACTCGTTGCCCACTCTGGAGTGGAATGGCGGGATCTCAGCTCACCACAACCTCTGCCTCTGGGGTTCAAGCAGTTCTCCTGCCTCAGCCTCCCAAGTAGCTGAGATTACTGGCATGCACCACCATGCCTGGCCAATTTTGTATTTTTAGTAGACATTGGGTTTCTCCATATTGGTCAGTCTGGTCTCGAACTCCTGACCTCAGGTGATCCGCCCACCTCAGCCTCCCAAAGTGCTGGGATTACAGGCGTGAACTACCGTGCTCAGCCACCACTGGTTCTTCTAGAGGAATTGAAGTGAGACACAATGCTGGTTTTTAAAATTAATTAATTAACTTATTTATTTTTTGAGATGAAATCTTGCTGTGTCACCCAGGCTGGAGTGCAGTGGCATGATCTCAGCTCACTGCAACCTCTACTTCACGGGTTCAAGCAATTCTTTGCCTCGGCCTCCTGTAATTTTTTTTTTCTCTATATATAGAGACGGGATTTCACTATGTTGGCTAGGCTGGTCTCAAATTCCTGACCTCAAGTGATTTGCCTGCCTTGGTTTCCCAAAGTGTTGGGATTACAGGCATGAGCCACTGTGCCTAGCCAGAATGGTGTTTTAGAATTCAGCCCTGGTTTGTGTGCCTTAGGAAATGCTACATAAGCTTCATGAATTTTACTAGTATGGTCAGATAGTCACATTTTTCAGGGTGTAATTTTCTTGTAAAATGAAACTGTTACCCTTTACCCAACAGGCAGCTCGGCCCACATCTGCTTTTCTGAGTCTAGGTGACAAGGACTACTATGGCATTTCATGGGAGTGTTGTCTGTCTGCAGTTTTCTCAAGTGTGCAGGAGTATATGGGAATTTCAAACTGGGATAGAGTGACTTCTAGGCGTGTGAATGTGGGAAGTACAGGTAGCTCTGGCTTCTCATGCCTTCTTACTTTTCCACTAGGGTTTTTTCCCAGGAAACCAATCTGCCCTTTTGAAGAAAAGACAAAGGTAGAAAGGACGGTGGTGGACTACCTGGCAAATGGTTATCAGGTAAAGTGAAAATGTACTGTTGTACAAAATGTCATACCTTCATCCAGTAGGTGGACACATTTCCTTCTAGACAGACTCATTTCTAGAGTTCTCTTAGAGCAAATGAAGCTTTACTGAAGGACGAGTCCCCAGATGAATTTACCCAGGGAATGAAATCTCCTATAGATAAAATGTTAATTTGAAAATCATCCCGTGATCTCAGTAATAACTAATTAAGCTTGACCTTCATTGTGCCAAGTGCATCTTTCTTTGATTGCTGGGTGGTGTGACAGATGATAAGGCAGATGAAAGTGTCCTTTTTATCAAATAATTTATTCACGCATCAGTATTTATCAGATATCTGCAGTGTGCTCAGGAGTGTGCTGCATAGAGACAGATGGGACAGGAAGAGCTTCTAGCCTGGTTGTGGTTGTGCTAAGATAAAGTGTAAGCTGTGGGCAGTGGCTAATGCCTGTAATTCCAGCTACTCAGGAGGCAGAGGTCAGAGGAGCACTTCAGTCCAGGAGATTGAAGCTGCAGTCACCAGCAATTGTTTCTGGGTAACACAGTGGGACCTGTCTTTATATATAAATTAATGAACAGATTAGATGGGGATAGATAGATAGATGAATAGATGATAGATAAAAATTTATGTTGGCTGGGCGCGGTGGCTCATGCCTGTAATCCTAGCACTTTGGGAGGCCAAGGTGGGTGGATCACCTGAGGTCAGGAGTTAAAGACCAGCCTGGCCATCATGGTGAAACCCCATCTTTTTAAAAAAAAAAAAAGAAGAAGAAGAAAGAAAAAAAAAATTTATGTTAAGGAAGTATTGTAATTAAAACTTCAAAAACTTTAAAAAGTTTAAAATAAAAATGTTTAAAAATAAATCAGGAAAATATATTTTTAAAAATTTTAAAAAGTGCTGTTCAAGGCATATACCTGTAGGAGGTCACCTTTGAGTGTTTAGACACAACAGCTCCTGAGACATTAAACCCTGGAGTAGATGTTGGGAGATCTCAGAACCACGTATAAGTTGAGTATAAGGTTCCCTTCCTCATTCTCCAGTGAACATTGGTGGAAGTGTTCATTAGCTCAAACCAGCATATGTATGATGACTTAGGATTCAGTGACCTTTGATGATGTTGCTGTGGAGTTCACCCCAGAGGAGTGGGCTTTACTGGACACAACTCAGAAATACCTCTACAGAGATGTGATGCTGGAGAACTACAAGAACCTGGCCTCTGTGGGTAAGAGTCACATCATTTTGCTGGGCATGGTGGCCTGCACCTTTAGTCCCAGATACTTGGGAGGCTGAGGTGGGAGAATCGCCTCAGCCTGGGAGTTTGAGACTAGCATGGGTCACATTGTGAGACCTCGTTTCTAAAAAAAAAGATTAAAAAAATAAATAAATAAAGACTAGGCCGGGTGCAGTTGCTCATGCCTGTAATCCCAGCACTTTGGAAGGCCAAGATGGGCAAATCACCTGAGGTCAGGAGTTTGAGACCAGCCTGGCCAAAATATTGAAACCCTTTCTCTACTAAAAATACGAAAAACTAGGCAGACATGGTGGTGGGTGCCTGTAAACCCAGCTATTAGCTTGGGACAGAAGAACTGCTTGAACCCAGGAGGTGGAGGTTGCAGTGAGCCGAGATTGCGCCAAGGAACTCCAGCTGAGACGACAGAGGGAGACTTTGTCTCAAAAAAATAAATAAAGACTAGCAGACTGGCACAGTGGCTCACGCCTGTAATCCCGGCACTTTGGGAGGCCAAGGAGGGCAGATAACGAGGTCAGGAGTTCAAGACCAGCCTGGCCAATATAGTGAAACTCCGTCTCTCCTAAAAATACAAAAATCAAGGCCGGGCGCGGTGGCTCAAGCCTGTAATCCCAGCACTGTGGGAGGCCGAGGCGGGTGGATCACGAGGTCAAGAGATCGAGACCATCCTGGTCAACATGGTGAAACCCCGTCTCTACTAAAAATACAAAAAATTAGCTGGGCATGGTGGCGCGTGCCTGTAATCCCAGCTACTCAGGAGGCTGAGGCAGGAGAATTGCCTGAACCCGGGAGGCGGAGGTTGCGGTGAGCCGAGATCGCGCCATTGCACTCCAGCCTGGGTAACAAGAGCGAAACTCTGTCTCAAAAAAAAAAAAAAAAAAAAAATCAGCTGGTCATGGTGGCACATGCCTGTAGTCCCAGCTACTTGGGAGGCTGACGCAGGAGAATCCCTTGAACCCAAAGGCAGAGGTTGAGGTGAACTGAGATCATGCCACTGTACTCCAGCCTGGGATGACAGAATGAGACTCCGTCTCAAAAAAAAAAAAAAAAAAAAGACTAGCATCATCTCTTATAGCCTGTTATAGAACAAAAGTATGTTACATCCTTGCTTGTCAATTCTGAATACAGTGGGGAATAACAGAGGCTGTCCCAAATAACAGCCTCTACTGTAATATGTTTTAGTTTACTGTGGTAATTCCTGAAACATCATCAACTGCATCTGCTTCATGCTGTTAGAAATGTACATCTTTGGGGCCTGGGGAGGGAAAACATGGGGAGAAATGCCAGATATAGTATGCACCAAAAGTAAAATAAATTTAAAAAAAAAAAAAAAAAAAAGAATGCTGCTCAGAGGATTAGATAAGATGATTTAAAAGTCAAAATAAAAACTACCAGCCAGTATATTGTAATGAGGTAGATAAAACTATTTATTTCTGGAAAACAGTGGCCATACAACTTCCCTGTGAAAAATTTCAAAAAATAAAAAAATGCCCAGTTACCCTGAGATAATCTATAAGGGATGCCAAGGTCCAAGCTGACCATTAATTCCAAAGCTGAAGAGAGGGAAAAGAGATCTGTATTATAGAAGTAGTAGAAGAATTTGGCGTTGAGTAAAATCCAAAGTCAGGGCTGAGAAAAAGACATTAGTAGCACAATAGGATCAACGTGCTTGTCCTTTAGTCTGCTAAGAGTTATTATGACTCATTTGAGATACTTGTTTCCAGTTTTTTAACATTATTTTTGGGGTATAGATGGTATGTTGGTTGGCATGGCTTATTATGACAAATTTTGTCTGGTGTAATGTTAAAACAAGTACATCTTTTTTTTTTTTTTTTTTTTTTTGGAGACAGAGTTTTGTTATGTCACCCGGCGCCAGGCACCAGGCTGGAGTGCAATGGCGTGATCTCGGCTCACTGCAACCTCTGCCTCCCAGGTTCAAGCAGTTCTCCTGCCTCAGCTTCCCAAGTAGCTGGGACTACAGGTGTGCGCCACCATGCCCAGCTAATTTTTGTATTTTTTAGTAGAGATGGGGTTTCACCATGTTGACCAGGATGGTCTCGATCTCTTGACCTCATGATCCGCCTGTCTCAGCCTCCCAAAGTGCTGGGATTATAGGCGTGAGCCACCATGCCCAGCCAGAAATGTGCATCTTCATTCCCGTATCTTTTACTACTAAATTGGAAACTTCAGGGTTTGGGCCCAGTCATCTGTGTTTTTAGAATCCCTAAAGATGAATCTAATATACTGTCATGTTTGAGATTCAGTGGCAGAGTTGTTTACCCATGAGAACAAGCATCTTTTTCCTGTATTTTTTTTTTTTTTTTTTTTGAGACGGAGTTTCACTCTTGTTACCCAGGCTGGAGTGCAATGGTGCAATCTCGGCTCACCGCAACCTCCGCATCCTGGGTTCAGGCAATTCTTCTGCCTCAGCCTCCTGAGTAGCTGGGATTACAGGCACGTGCCACCATGCCCAGCTGATTTTTTGTATTTTTAGTAGAGACGGGGTTTCACCATGTTGACCAGGATGGTCTCGATCTCTTGACCTCGAGATCCACCCGCCTCGGCCTCCCAAAGTGCTGGGATTACAGGCGTGAGCCACCGCGCCCGGCCTTTTTTTTTTTTTTTTTTTTTTTTGAGACAGAGTCTCCCTCCATCACCCAGGCTGGAGTACAATGTTGTGATCTTGGTTCACTGCAACCTCAGCCTTCCAAGTAACTGGGATTACAGGCACCTGCCACCACACCCCACTAAGTTTTTTTATTTTTTTTATTTTTAGTAGACACAGGGTTTCACCATCTTGGCCAGGCTGAGTCTTGAACTCCTGACCTTGTGATCCAGCTGCCTCAGCCTCCCAAAGTGCTGGGATTACAGGCATGAGCCACCATGCCTAGCCTACTTACATGTAAAAGTTTGGCCAAGTGTGGTGGCTCACTCTTATCCCAGCACTTTTGGAGGCCCAGGTGGGTGGAACACTGATGTCAGGAGTTCAAGACCAGGCTAGTCAGCATGGTGAAACTTTGTCACTAGTAAAAATACAAAAATTAGCTGGGCATTGTGGGGCGTGCCTATAGCCCCAGCTACTTGGGAGACTGAGGCAGGATAATCGCTTGAAACTGGGAGGTGGAGGTTGCAGTGACTCAAGATGGCAACACTGCACTCCATCCTGGTGACAGAATGAGAATGTGTCTCAAAAATAAACACACACTGAAAAAGAAATAAAAGTTTTAGTGCTTTGTAAATGTGTATGTCAGCCTGAATTTGGGTTTAATTGGTCAGAGATAACCAATTTTGGGGGGCACAGAAATGGGGGTCTTTGCTTGTTTAGCTCTTTTGTTTTAATTACATTGCTTTTATTAGAAATATATCTTCTGGCCGAGTGCTGTGCCTCATCCCTGTAATCCCAGCACTTTGTGAGGCTGAGGTGGGCGGATCACCTGAGGTTAGGAGACCAGCCTGGCCAACATGGTGAAACCCCATCTCTACTAAAAGTACAAAAAAAATTAACTAGCCGTGGTGGCAGGTACCTGTAATCCCAGCTACTCAGGAGGCTGAGGCAGGAGAATCGGTTAAACCCAGGAGGCTGAGGTTGCAGTGAGTCAAGATTGCATCACTGCACTCCAGTCCGGGAGACAAGTAAGAGACTCTATCTCAAAAAAAAAAAAAAAAGTAGAAATAAATCTCCTAAATCATAGGAAGGTTTGTCATTTCTTGCATGGGCCACTTCATTTAATGTCTTTCCACCTGCACAGGTTGTCAGCTGTTCATACCCAACCCGACCTCTTGGTTAAAACAAGAAGAGTTGAAGACAATGGAGAGTGGAGTTCTTCAGCGTGAGTATTTATAAAACAGAACTCTGATGAGAAGTTCCGTATGTTTTTGCAACTAGAAAAGAGATTTTTAGGCCGGGCGCAGTGGCTTACGCCTGTAATCCCAGCACTTTGGGAGGCTGGGGTGGGTGGATCACCTGAAGCAAGATTTGACTGGGTACAGTGGCTCACACTTGTAATCCCAACACTTTCGGAGGCCGAAGCAGGTGGGATCACAAGTTCAGGAGATTGAGACCATCCTGGGTAACACGGTGAAACCCAATCTCTACTAAAAATGCAAAAAATTAGCCAGACATGATGGCACACACCTGTAGTCAAAGTTACTTGGAAGGCTGAGGCAGTAGAATTGCTTGAATCCTGGAGGCAGAGGTTGCAGTGAGCTGAGATTGCGCCACTGCGCTTCACCCTGGGCGACAGGGTAAGACTTTGTCCTAAAAAAAAAATAAAAGATTTTTAAAGATGCACTTGGCCTCAGAAGATTTAAGCTATTTTTATCAGAATGTCAGATATCTCTGACTTATTTTCCATCTAGTCACAAATTCCTATGATCTAACAAAACTACCTGTTCTGGTTTTTTGTTAAGTTTATCATTTTGATATATGCTCTTTATCCAGATCTTCCTGCTTTCCTTTCCTGATAATCTCTTCCTGTTCACCATATTTTCACAGAAGCAGTGTGTATTAAACTACCTAAACATATCAGTTGTGTAATAAACCCTACATCCTTATAGCCAGAGTCTTACTGTAATACCAAATCCTCAAGGTTATCTGGGTTTTATTTTGTTACTGTATTTAATTTGAAAACAAGTACTAATGACTCATTATTTTAAACCACTTTAGTATAACATTTCTTCTCTAAACCCTCACATTACTTTTTCTGCTTAACTTCAGAATGGGAAATACAACCTAGAACCCAAGGGTTATCACTTCACCAGAGTTTTTTGAAGAATGAAATCTTCAGTGCGATACAAATGGTAAGATTGATGAGGGATGTTTCTTAGTTTCCTCTCTCAGAAAAAATTGAGAATTCCATTCTAGAAAATTAGCACAGTCAGAGCTGTGGCTTACATCTGTAATCCCAGGTACTTGGAAGGCTGAGATGGATCATTTGAGCCCAGGAGTTTGAGACCAGCCTGGGCAATATAGCAAGATCCCATCTCTGATTTTAAAAAGAGGCTGGATATGGTGGTTCATGCCTATAGTACCAACACTTTGGGATGCCAAGGTGGGTGGCTCATTTGAGGTCAAGAGTTTGAGACCAGCCTGGCCAACATGGTGAAACTGTCTCTACTAAAAATACAAAATTAGCCAGGTATGGTGGTGGGTACGTGTCATCACAGTTACTTGAGAGGCTGAGGCAGGAGAATTGCCCGACCCAGAGGCGAAGGTTGCAGTGAGCCAAGATTGCACCACTGTATTCCAGCCTGGGTGACAGAGTAAGACTCCACTTCAAAAAAAAAAAGAAACTGAGTCTGTAATCCTAGCACTCTGGGAGGCCGAGGTGGGTGGATCACTTGAGGTTAGCACTTCGAGACCAGGCTGGCCAACGTGGTGAAACTCTAGCTCTACTAAAAATACAAAATTAGCCAGACGTGGTGACGGGCACTTGTAATCCCAGTTACTTGAGAGCCTGAGGCAGAATTGCTTAAACCTGGGAAGTGGAGTTTGCAACGAAAAAAAAAACAGCACAAATGAGAAATACTTCAGAGAATTAGAGAAGTAGCCTGTACTCTTGAGGGAACAGGGTCTCTGGAGAGATAGTCTGAATGTGATAAATTTTCTGATGTTCCAAACCTGTATAACTTGTCACTTCAAAATACCCAGAAGTACACATTCCCACATATGTAACTAGTCATTGAGGATTTAAACAGTTTCATGAAAATCTACACAATTTGGCTGGGTGCAACGGCTGATGCCTGTAATCCCAGCACTTTGAGAAGCTGAGGCAGGATAATCGCTTGAATCTGGGAGTTCAAGACCAGCCTGGGCAACAGGGAGACACTGTCTCTGCAAAAAATTAAAAATGAGCCAGGCATGTTGGCATACAACTTTAGTCCAAGCTCCTCGAGGGACCGAGGCAGGATGATGGCTTGAGCCTGGGAGATTAATGCTGCAGTGAGCTGTGATTGTGCCATTGTACCCAGCCTGGATGACAGAGTGAGATCTTGTCTCAAACCACCCCCCCCCCACAATTAAAATATACAGTTTTTTTCTTTTTTTTTTTTTTTGGAACAATTAGAGCCAGTGGCATAGAATTCTGGCAAAAGGTCCCATTATTCAATCTGAAAGAAATCAAGAGTTCAGGAAATGAAACCATGAAAGAAAAAATGTAAAAATTGTAGTTATGAAACTAGGCTGCCATGGTAGCTCATGGCTGTAATCCCAGCACTTTGGGATGCTGAGGCAGCTTGAAGAGATTGAGACCAGCCTAGGCTACCTAGCAAGACCCTGTCTCTATAAAAATAAATTGAGGCTGGGCGCAGTGGCTCATGCCTGTAATCCCAGCAATTACGGAGGCCAAGGCGGGTGGATCACAAGGTCAGGAGTTCAAGACTAGCCTAGCCAACATGGTGAAGCCCCATCTCTACTAAAATTTCAAAAATTATCTGGGTGTGGTGGCACATGCCTATAATCCCAGCTACTCGGGAGTCTGAGGCACGAGAATCGCTTGAACTGAGGAAGTGGAGATTGCAGTGAGCCAAGATTGCACCACTGTACTCCAGACAGAGCAAGACTCCGTCTCATAAATAAATAGAAAGTTTGGCCAGGCATGATGGTGCATGCTGAAAGTTTTATATACACAGGAAGCTAAGGCAGGATGATCACTTGAACCCAACCAGGAGTTTGAGGTTACAGTGAGCCATGATCACACCAATGCACTATACCCCAGGCAATGGAGCGAAACTCCGATTCTGAAAAAAGTAAAACATACTGGACATGGTGTAATCTTACCACTTTGGGAGGCCAAGGCAAGCAGATCACCTCAGGAGTTTGAGACCAGCCTGGGCAACGTGGCAAAACCCTGTCTCTACAAAAAAAATAGAAAACTTAGCCAGGTGCATTAGCATGCACCTGTATTCCCAGCTACGCCAGCTACTGGGTAGATTGAGGAAGGAGATTAACTTGAGCCTGGGAGGTGGAGGTTGCAGGTGGCTAAGATTGTGCCACTAACACTCAAGACTGGGAGTGGAACAAGACTCTCTGTCAAAAAAAAAGTAAAAAGTAAAATAATAATTGTCATCAAAATAATGTTTCTGTCTTTAGGTGGGTGACATCTCTTAATATGTCTGAAAATGTTTTAAATCCTTTATCTGTTCATCAGCAGACAAGCTACAGTGGATGGAAACTCTGTAAGAATTGTGGAGAGGTCTTCAGTGAACAGTTTTGCCTTAAGACACACATGAGAGCTCAGAATGGAGAGAACACTTCTGAGTTTAATTGTTATGGAAAAGATGTCCTCACCATGTACAAGGAACCCTCTATTGGACAGGAACTTTCCAAATTTAATCCATGTGGAAAAGTCTTCTCCCTAACTCCAGGCCTTGCTGTACATCTTCAAATTCTCAATGCAAGAAAACCCTACAAATGTAAGGAATGTGGAAAAGGCTTTAAGTATTTTGCAAGCCTTGATAATCACATGGGAATCCACACTGGAGTGAAGCTCTGTGAATTTCAGGAATGTGGGGGAGCCATCACAGCTTCCTCACATCTAAAGCACTGTGTAACAGTTCATACTGGAAAGAAATCCAAAGAGACTGAGAAATGTGGGAAATCCTTCACTAATTTTTCTCAACTTTCTGCACATGTGAAAACTCATAAAGGAGAGAAGTTATTTGAATGTAAAGAATATGGACAACCCTTCAGAAATTCCTCATCTCTTAATGAGCACATTCAAATTCACACTGGAATAAAACCACACAAATGTACAGAATGTGGGAAAACATTCACTAGATCAACTCACCTTACTCAACATGTAAGAACGCACACTGGAATAAAACCCTATGAATGTAAGGAATGTGGGCAAGCCTTCACTCAGTACACAGGTCTTGCTATACACATTCGAAATCACAATGGAGAGAAACCCTATCAGTGTAAGGAATGTGGGAAAGCCTTCAATAGATCTGCAACCCTTACTCAACATAAAAGAATTCACACAGGAGAGAAGCCTTATGAATGCATTGAATGTGGAAAAACCTTCATTACTTCTTCGCATCGTAGTAAACATTTGAGAACTCATACTGGAGAAAAGCCATTTGTATGCAAGGTATGTGGGAAAGCATTTATGTTTTCCTCAGCCCTTAAAGTACACCTGCGAAGTCATACTGGAGAGAGACCTTTTGTATGTAAGGAATGTGGGAAAGCATTTGCTGTTTCCTCACGCCTAAGTACCCATGAAAGAATTCACACTGGGCAGAAACCCTATGAATGTAAGGGTATGAATGTTACCATTTAGCCCATCAGTTGTCATTTTTAATTATTGGCAGTGACACCAAAGATCATCAGATTTGTCCTAAATGCCTTGCAAAGGTTTGTAATAGCTCATGGATTGGCCTTTGATGCCATCCCGAGGGTCTGAAATTACAGAGTAATACAACTTCTTCATGTTTCTAAATATAACTTCTTCATGGTTGCCTGAGTCTGGGCATCTGTGAAGAAGGGTCATGGATGGTAAGGTCAGTACTGCAGGCTCCCTCACCTTGGTGATTAGATTCCTAGGATCATGGTATTAACAAGTTCTGAATGAGATAAATCATGCAGGTTCGTTTTATCCCCTGTTGGTTAGTGGCTGCCAGTGTAGCACATTCATGTCAAAATTTACTGGAAGCCAAGGATATATAGGCCCAGAGGTGAACTGTTGAAAGATGTTCTTCCAAGGGTCTCTTTTGTTCTATGGATCCTGCAGAGCATGCCAGAAATTAAACCATCTTTAACTGCCAGTGCACTTTCACAGCTGATTATTACTGTGTCGTCTTATAAAATCTAAGAAGTGTGACAGCCTTGCCTGTTCTTTTCTGCCTTCTCTGTCCATTTTAGGTGGCACAGTCTAAGTGGCAATGTCTCCTCTAGTATAGTCCAGTCTACTTACTTCTGTTAAGATGCCTAATATAGTCTGTGAATCCCACTCATGATCTCTGTGCACGAACTAAATGGCTTACAAATTCATTTAACTTTAAATGAGGTTAAAAACACCAAAATTTGGGCCGGGCGTGGTGGCTCACGCCTGTAATCCCAGCACTTTGGGAGGCCGAGGCAGGTGGATCACGAGGTCAAGAGATCGAGACCATCCTGGTCAACACGGTGAAACCCCGTCTCTACTAAAAAACTACAAAAAATTAGCTGGGCATGGTGGTGCGTGCCTGTAATCCCAGCTACTCAGGAGGCTGAGGCAGGAGAATTGCCTGAGCCCAGGAGGCGGAGGTTGCGGTGAGCCGAGATCGCGCCATTGCACTCCAGCCTGGGTAACAAGAGCGAAACTCTGTCTCAAAAAAAAAAAACACCAAAATTTATATTCTCACATTTCTGGATGTTGGAAGTCTGAGATCAAAGTGCTAACATGGTCAGTTTCTTGTGAGAGCTCTCTCTCTGGCATGTAAATACCTACTTCTTCATGTCTTCACATGATGGAGACCAAGAAATCGATCTGTTGGTCGGTCTCTCTCTCTCTCTCTTTCTTTCCCTCTTTCCCACCCTCCCTCCCTTCCTCCCCCCCCTCCCCACAAACACTGCCATTTCTCTACATCATTTAATGATACTTCCTAAAGATCCTATTTTCACATACAGTGACATTGGGGTTTGGAGCTTCAACATAAAAATTTTGGAGGTCATCGTTCAGTCCAAAGTACTTAGTATGATTCTTTTCCCTTTCCACATACACAGTCAGATAATCTATAAATCATGAATCTTATTTTTCCCTTTCAATCATTAGGTTATATATATATATATATTGCTTTATATTGCAAGAATATATGTATACACATTTTTGCTTTACTGGACTGATTTCAACCTCCAGCACACCACCAACTAAAAGTAGTAATAGCATACTTGTCTTTGCAGTTCTGGTGAGGCATGAGCTCCATTTTATGGGCTTGGCTGTAGGTTTTTATTTCTTTTTTTATTTTTTGAAGAGGCTATCTCTTACAGAAAAGGTTTTTGCTTTATGTCCAGTTTTTAAATGATGAATGATTTCCCAATATTTCATAATTTGTAAGGCTGAATTCCTCTTGAATTTATTAAATGCTTCCGGCACAGCCTCTGATTATCATGTTTATTTATTGATAAAACTCAAGTACCTAGAACTGCACCGAGCCTATGATGGTACCTAATAAATACTTCAATGAAACTGTGGTGATGCATGCCTGTAGTCCTAGCTACTTGGAAGGACTGCCTGAGCCCAGGAGTTCTAGACCAGCTTAGGCAACAAAGCAAGACCGCACCTTAAAAAAAAAAAAAAAAAAAAAAAACTTTAGTGAGTGAATGCTTTGATGGACTCTTCCAGCTGGAAATGTTGGCTCATGCCCGTAATCCCGGCCCTTTGGGAGGCGGGGATGGGTGGATCACTTGAGGTCAGGAGTTTGAGACCAGCCTGGCCAACATGGTGAAACCCCATCTCTACTAAAAATACAAAAATTACCTGGGTGTGGTGGCATGCACCTGTAATCCCAGATACTTAGGAGGCTGTAGCAGGAGAACCACTTGAACCAGGGCATTGGAGGTTGCATTGAGTGGAGATTGCACCATTGCACTCCAGCCTGGGCAATAGAGCAAGACTCCATCAAAAAATAAATAAATGTACTCTTTATATTTATTGCTTTTCTAATGTTAGTCAACCTTGTATTCTTTGTTAAGCTTTATTGTCCCTGAACGATACTTACATATAGATTATGACTGTCATATACTGTCCCTGGTGTATGTTCCTATTTATTCTAAATTCTTAATCTATATGCTATAAGAGTCATCGGTTGTGGCTGGATATGCCAGCTCATGCCTGTAATTCCAGCATTTTGGGAGGCCAAGGCAGGCAGATCATCAGGTCAAGAGATCAAGACCATCCTGGCCAACATGGTGAAACCCTGTCTCTGCTAAAAATACAAAAATTAGCTGGGCATGAGGGCATGTTCCTGTAATCTCAGCTACTCAGGAGGCTGAGACAGGAGAGTTGCTTGAACCCAGGAGGTGGAGGTGCAGTGAGCCAAGATTGTACCATTGCACTCCAGCCTGGCAACAGTGCAAAACTCCATCTCAAAAAAATAAATAAATAAATCATCGGCCAGGTATGGTGGCTCATACCTGTAATCCCAGCACTTTGGGAGGTCAGGGCAGGTGGATCACAAGGCTATGCTAAAAGTAGTGGCTCATGCCTATAATCTGAACACTTTGGGAGGCCAAGGTGGTAGGGTTGCTTGCACCCAGGACTTTGAGACCAGCCTGAGCAACACAAGGAGATCTTTTTAAAAAAAAGTTATGGCTGGGCACAGTGGCTCACACCTATAATCCCAGCATTTAGGGAGGCCAAGGCTGTTGGATCATGAGGTCAGGAGTTCCAGACCAGCCTGGCCAATATGGTGAAACCCCGTCTCTACTAAAAATACAAAAATTAGCCAGGGATGGTAGTGCGCCCATGTAGTCCCATCTACTTGGGAGGGTGAGGCAGAAGAATCGAATGAACCTGGGAGATTCAGTTTGCAGTGAGCCAAGATCACACCACTGCACTCCAGCCTGGGTGACAGAATAAGACTGTCTCGTGGCCGGGCGCGGTGGCTCACGCCTGTAATCCCAGCACTTTGGGAGGCCGAGGCGGGTGGATCACGAGGTCAAGAGATCAAGACCATTCTGGTCAACATGGTGAAACCCCGTCTCTACTAAAACTACAAAAAAAATTAGCTGGGCGTGGTGGCACGTGCCTGTAATCCCAGCTACTCAGGAGGCTGAGGCAGGAGAATTGCCTGAACCCAGGAGGCGGAGGTTGCGGTGAGCCGGGATCGCGCCATTGCACTCCAGTCTGGGTAACAAGAGCGAAACTCCGTCTCAAAAAAAAAAAAGACTGTCTCGGAAAAAAAAATAGAAAAGAAACATACCAATTAACGATCCTTTAATGTTGTGCATTTAGTGCCTTACATATAATTAGTAATAATTTGGATTCAGTTCTAGCATCTTACTTGTTCTGTGTTTGTCCCATTGTGTTGAGCTCTGTATTTTTCATATATTTTTCAATTTTATTCTTGATGTTTGAAATTTGTGTGTGTGTGTATATATATATATATTTTTAGAGACAGGGTTTCACCATGTTGACCAGGCTCGTCTTGAACTGAAGTCAGGTGATCCACCCGCCTTGGCCTCCCAAAGTGCTGGGATTACAGGCGTGAGCCACCGCGCCTGGCCCAATTTGTATATTTTTATTGCTAACATAAAACATTACAATTTTAAATTTAAATGTTCATTAATACCTTTTCTTTCCAACAAAGTGTACTAGGCTGTTTGAATAAAGTGATCCTCATGTACACTTACTGCACTTGCAGAGAGACCCAGAAGGAAGTGCATTGTCACAGAAGCCACTAGACAGATCTGGTGGCAAAAGGAATAGACCCCTTGACACAGGCCCAATGACACCTTGTGGTAGCTTACAGATGGCCACAAGTTTTTGAGATTACTATGTGAAGGTGGAATCTGTCTCATTTTTATGTGAGCCAGTCTTGTGACTTGCTTTGACCAGTAGAAACCAGCAGAACTGAGGTTTGCAAATACATCCTCAAGAGGCTTCTGCTAAGTAGCTGCTGTTTTCAGCTAGTAGGTTTTGGGGCTGTATATTACACACTAAAGGCCAACTGATACACATACCCCTTTGTACACAAGCCAAGCTACTGCGCCCGGCCTTAACCTGTGATTCCGCAGGATACATGGGGAGAGCCTCCAGAAACAGGCCCACTAGTGTTAGCAGTAAAGAATTCTGGGCTGGGCGCAGTGGCTCATGCCTGTAAACCCAGCACTTTGGGAGGCCAAGGAGTGAGGATCACAAGGCCAAGAGATTGAGACCATCCGGGCCAACATGGTGAAACCCTATCTCTACTAAAAATACAAAAATTAGCTGGGTGTGGTGGCATGCACCAAGTTGACACAGAAGAATCACTTGAACCTGGGAGGCGGAGGTTGCTGTGAGCTGAGGTTGCCACTTCATTCCAGCCTGGTGACAGAGCGAGACTATCTCAAGAAAAAACGCATTCTGTCAGTGGTCACAGAGTGACTCGGCATCTCCCACTATGACCTGAGATGACAAAATCAAGATCTGATACAAATCAGCCAGAGTGAACCTTACATTCCTGGAGTTGATGCCACTGGCATTTCTTATCATGGGGTTGGGAATTCGTTTGCTAATTCCTTCCCTCCCTCCCTTCCTCCTTCCCTCATTCCCTCCTTTCTTTCTCTTTCTCTCTTTTTTTTTTTTTTTTTTTTGGATGGAGGCTTGCTCTGTCTCCCAGACTGGAACGCAGTGACGGGATCTTGGCTAATTACATTTTTCAATTTTTAAATTTTTTGTAGAGATGGGGGCTTGCTATGTTGCCCAGGCTGGTCTCAAACTCCTGGGCTCAAGCAGTCCTCCTGCCTCACCCTCTCAAAGTGCTGAGACTCCAGGCCTGAGCCACTTTGCCCAGTTACTGCTAATTGTTTTTAGTGCATTTGTTTTATTTTTGTTTTGTTTTATTTTATTTTTTTTGAGACGGAGTTTCACTCGTTACCCAGGCTGGAGTGCAATGGCGCGATCTCGGCTCACCGCAACCTCCGCCTCCTGGGCTCAGGCAATTCTCCTGCTTCAGCCTCCTGAGTAGCTGGGATTACAGGCATGTGCCACCATACCCAGCTAATTTTTTGTATTTTTAGTAGAGACGGGGTTTCACCATGTTGGCCAGGATAGTCTTGATCTTCTGACCTTGTGATCCGCCCACCCTGGCCTCCCAAATTGCTGGGATTATAGGTGTGAGCCACTGCACCTGGCCAGTATGTTTTATTTTTATTTTAAAATAATTCTTTGCCTTGTGTTTAAACTGTCTATAGTATGTGTTTTAATATCTGTTGCTCATTGTTGGTTTTGTTTTCTCTCTCTCTCTCTGTCTCTTTCTTTCAAGACGGAGTTTCCTTCTGTCACCATGTTCGAGTGCAATAATCTTGGCTCACTGCAACCTCCGCCTCCTGGGTTCAAGTAGTTCTTCTGCCTCAGTCTCTCAAGTAGCTGGGATTATAGCCACATGCCACCACGCCCAGCTAATTTTTGTATTTTTATTAAGATGGGGTTTCACCATGTTGGCCAGGATGGTCTTAATCTCCTGACCTCGTGATCCACCCGCCTCAGCCTCCCAAAGTGATGGGATTACAGACCTGAGCCACCGCGCCCAGCCTCGTTTTGTTTTCTTGATTATTAGCAGATGTTTGTGCTTCCATATAAACTTTTAGTATGAATGTATGTAACTCCAGAAAAAACTTCTGGTATTTTTATTGGGATTATTGGGATTTATTGGGATTATTCTGTATAAACCTGGGGAGAATGGTATCACTGCTATTTTACAATGAGGTCCTGGCCCATGTGGTAAGATCAGAAAAATAACAAATAGAAATACCTATTTTTGGCCAGGTGCAGTGGCTCACGCCTGTAATCCCAGCACTTTGGGAGGCGGAGGTGGGCGGATCACTTGAGGTCGCGAGTTCGAGAACAGCCTGGACAATACAGCCTGGACAGTATGGTAAAACCCCATCTCTACTAAAAATACAAAAATTAGCTAGGTGTGGTGGTGTGCGCCTATATTCCTAGCTACTCGGGAGGCTGAGGCAGAAGAATTGCCTAAACCCAGGAGCAGAGGTTGCAGTGGGCTGAGATGTCACCACTGCACTCCAGCCTGGGTGACAGAGTGAGACTCCGTCTCGGGGAAAAAAAAAAAAAAATTTTTTTTTTAATTTTATTTTTTTCATACACCGGGTGTCTTACTGTATTGCCCAGGCTGGTCTCAAACTCCTGGCCTCAAATGGTCCTCCCACCTTGGGCTCCCAGAGTGCTGGAATTACAGGCATGAGCCACCGTGCCCAGCCAGAAATACGTATTTGATGAAGAAAAAAAAAAATCAAGATTTATAGAAAATATTATTATATTGAAAATGTGGCCAGGCACAGTGACTCATGCCTATAATCCCAGCACTTTCAGAGGCTGAGACAGGTGAATCACAAGGTCAGTAGTTCAAGACCAGCCTGGCCAACGTGGTGAAACCCCATCTCTATAAATATAAGGTCCAGCCCTATAGGGTTGTGTGAGCCCCTTCCTGTTGGTGCTGAGACAAGAAACTGTAGAAATAAAAGACATAGAGCTAGAGAAAAGAAGAGTTTGGGCTCGGGGGTCCACTGCCAACCAAAGTACGCAGACCTGCAGTGGCCCCAAGTGCCTGGACACTCTTGTATTGAGTACAAAGCAGGGGGCAGGGAACATAGGGTGAAGTAATGGTGATCAGTGATAGGGTCAGGTAAATCACGTGTCTTGAAGATATGGGGTCCAAGACTTTCAAGTAGCCAAGGCGAGGAAAAAGCTAATGCGTCAGTACTCTTCGCATATTTCTTAGAAATATCAAGGACACTAAGATCATGCTACTATTATTAATTTTTATCTTTTAAGAAAAAGAGAAACCAGGTGCAGAAGCAGGGTGTGAGAGTAGACATGGAATGTGACCACTGAAGCACAGCATCACATAGAGACAGTTAAGCTCACAGATGTAGCTCGCAGATGTCTGTGGGCTTCCCTGACAGCTGTCAGGCCTTGCCACAAGAGCTTGGAGAAGCGGAGTTTTCTCCTAACTCCTCCCTAGCTGGCTAAACAGCAGGCACTTTCACAACAGATGCTGCCACACAGCCGAGGCGCCCTCCAGCAGCCCTTATGTGGGTGTGACAGAGGGCTTAGAGCATCTTTCCTTACGATCACTTTGTTTACAGTGTCACCTCAGTTGCATGCTTCATAACCCGATAGTCATTAGTAAAATTAAAGATTATATTGAGTATATATCTTTATGATTAGAAGTAACTAAAAAACTATATATGGTTATATAAAGGAATAACTATGTGCCTACATTTCTTTTTTTTTTTTTTTTTTTTTGGAGATGGAGTTTCGCTCTTGTTACCCAGGCTGGAGTGCAATGGCGCGATCTCGGCTCACCGCAACCTCCACCTCTTGGGTTCAAGCAATTCTCCTGCCTCAGCCTCCTGAGTAGCTGGGACTACAGGCACGCACCACCATGCCCAGCTAATTTTTTGTATTTTTAGTAGAGACGGGGTTTCACCATGTTGATCAGGATGGTCTCGATCTCTTGACCTCGTGATCCACCCGCCTCGCCCTCCCAAAGTGCTGGGATTACAGGCTTGAGCCACCGCGCCCGGCCCCTGTGCCTACATTTCTAATTCTTTTCTAAATCAATATTTATATGGGAACAGACTGAGGTTTCAGACCCTTGCCACGGCCCTTGCAGGGTTTCCCCCCTACAATAAAAAGTACAAAAAATTAGATGGGGGCCGGGCACGGTAGCTCACACCTGTAATCCCAGCACTTTGGGAGACCGAGGCAGGTGGATCACGAGGTCAAGAGATCGAGATCATCCTAGTCAACATGGTGAAACCCCGTCTCTACTAAAAATACAAAAAATTAGCTAGGCATGGTGGCACGTGCCTGTAATCCCAGCTACTCAGGAGGCTGAGGCAGGAGAATTGCCTGAACCCAGGAGGTGGAGGTTGCAGTGAGCACACCATTGCACTCCAGCCTGGGTAACAAGAGCGAAACTCCGTCTCAAAAAAAAAAAAAAAAAAAATTAGCTGGGCATAGTAGCTGGCACCTGCAATCCCAGCTACTCGTGAGATCGAGGCAGGAGAATCGCGTGAACCTGGGAGACAGAGGTTGCTGTGAGCTGAGCTTGCGCTACTGCACTCCAGCCTGGTAGACAGATGAGGCTCCATTTCAAAAAAGAAAAAAAGAAACGGAAAAGAAAAAAGAAAACGCAATGGAATCAGCAGGTTCTGAAAAATAACGAACAAAGAAATAAAGGCCTACTGAAAGCCTGAATGAATGGAAGAAATAGACCATGCCATTCACTGGCAGGTTTATCAATATGGAAGAATCAAGAAAAGGCTCTAGGAACATGAGGAGAGGCATACAGAAAAGCTTTACACACACACACACACACACACACACACACAAAATCACGAGGTCAGGAGATGGAGACCAGCCTGGCCAATATGGTGAAACCCCCGTCTCTAAGAAACATACAAAATTTAGCCGGGCATGGTGGCACACACCTGTAATATACCCAGCTACTGAGGAGGCTGCAGCAGGACAATCGCTTCAAGCAGGGAGGCGGAGGTTGTAATGAGCCGAGATCTCGCCACTGCACTCCAGCCTGGGCGACAAAGGGAGACTCCGTCTGAAAAAAAAAAACAAAAACAAAAAACAACAAGCTAGGCGTGGTGGCGCATGCCTGTAATCCCAGCTACTCGGGAGGGTAAGGCAGGAAAATGGCTTGAACCCGGGAGGTGGAGTTTGCGGTGAGCCGAGATCGTGCCATTGCACTCCAGCCTGGGTAATAAGAGCGAAACTCCGTCTCCAAAAGTAGAAGAAGGAGAAAAAAAAAAAAAAAAAGAAAAAGAAAAGAGATTGCTATTTTGCCTTGGCTGGTCTCGAACTCTTGGACTCAAGCTATCCACCTGCCTTACACTTACCAAAGTGCTGAAATTACAAGCGTGAGCCACTGCGCCCTCCGGGGAAAAGCTTTGGAGGAGCATTCCCTGGCGTGCATCCCATCCTCCATCTGGCCCTTCAGCCCGCCCGGCCACCTGAACCGTGGGCTAGGCCGGGTCACCTCTAAACCGCCCCCGACTACTCGCCGACCCCTCGCCCACAGTTCCGTCCAGAAGCCGGGTTCTAACTTCACCTTTTTCTCTAGAACTGTTTCTGCATCCCCCTCCCTGAGCCAAACACAGGCCCCGTCCGCACCCATCAGGAAGAAAAGCAGTATGTCTGTGTTCTAGCGGGTCCTACGCGGCTGAAGTTCCAGCCCAGGAGCCCCGCCCGGCACGAAGCTCGGAGCGGAAGTGACGTCAGCGCGTCGCCGCCATCTTTTTCGGCGCTGGCTCCGCATGGTCTGTGCGCTTTCGCCTTAATAGTGGTGGGGTACGTCTCTGCCGTGGTGAGTTCCACCTGTTTGGGGTCCGGGAAATAGCAGAGGGGCGGCAAAGGAAGGATCGGGCGCGATTGCCCAGGAGCCTCTCGGGTCCGGCTCGTTTCACTAGTTTCTCCAGGGGCTGTCGGTCCTCCCAGCGCAGCCAGTTCCGAGAGGCCGCACGCTCGGTTGGTCCCGGTCAGGAGCCGGGTCGGGAAGTGTGTTTGTCCCGCCTCCGCGGGGTGTTTTCTGGAATGCTTCCATCCGCTGTGCTCCCGTCTTCAAAAGCCTAGAAAGCAACCTTGGTGATTTTTTTTCCTTCCGAAAGGAAAAGGATTTTTGCTGTTCTAGTGAGGTTGGCTCCGCCCCGCGTCCTCCCGCCTCAGGAACCTGGCGATTCCGGCGTATTCCTTGTGAGCACTGGCAGAAAACTGGTTTCAAGAGGGCTCAGATTTCTTTTTTTTTTTTGAGACGGAGTTTTGCTGTTGTTGCCCAGGCTGGAGTGCAATGGCGCGATCTCGGCTCACCGCAACCTCCGCCTCCTGGGTTCAAGCAATTCTCCGGCCTCAGCCTCCCGAGTAGCTGGGACTACAGGCACGCACCATCATGCCCAGCTAATTTTTGTATTTTTAGTAGAGACGGGGTTTCACCATGTTGACCAGGATGGTCTCGATCTCTTGACCTCGTGATCCACCCGCCTCGGCCTCCCAAAGTGCTGGGATTACAGGCTTGAGCCACCGCGCCCGGCCCGAGGGCTCAGATTTCTATTTCTTTGCCAGGAAATGTCTCATCTGAGAATCTGGCGTTGTCTTGATGTCGTTAACAAAATTTTTGACACATTACATTCGAATTGAAAAAACATAGTTTTTCAGGTTGTACCTATTTCTGTATGTAAATATGAACACGTGTAGACTGTAAACCTTTTTAATTTTTATTTCCTTGAACCTTATTTTTTTTTCCAGTTTTTACCAGCTACAAGCCTTTCTACTAAAAGGCAGGCTGGGCACGGTGGCTCATGCCTGTAATCTCAGTACTTTGGGAGGCCGAGGCAGGTGGTTCACCTTAGGTCAGGAGTTCGAGACCAACCTGACCAACGTGGTGAAACACTGTCTCTACGAAGATACAAAAATTTGCTGGTCGTGGTGGCGCACGTCTGTAATCCCAGCTACTTGGGAGGCTGAGGCAGGAGAATTGCTTGAGACCAGGAGGAGGAGGTTGCAGTAAGCCGTCATTGTGCCACTGCGCTCAAGCCTGGTGACAGAGCGAGACTGTCAAAAACAGAAAAAGAAAAGCAGGGCGTGGTGGTGGGCCCCTGTAATCCCAGCTGTTGGAGATAAAAAAAAAAATGCTGGGTGCCGTAAAGTGAAACGGGCACTCAAGCAAAGTTTTCTCAGCAAGGCAATTTACTTCTATAGAAGGGCACATCTCCCGGATAGAGCAGTGGCGTGAGCACACCTATAAGGGAGGCAAAGGCGTTTCTCTCTCTCTCTTTTTCTTCTTTTCTTTTTTTTTTTTTTTTTGAGACGGAGGTTCGCTCCTGTTGCCCGGGCTGGAGTGCAATGGCGATCTTGGCTCGCCACAATCTCCGCCTCCCGGGTTCAAGCTGTTCTCCTGCCGTAGCCTCCCTAGTAACTGGGATTACAGGTGCCTACCACCACCCCCAGCTAATTTTGTATTTTTAGTAGAGATGGGTTTCTCTTTGTTGGTCAGGCTGGTCTCAAACTCCGGTGATCCTCCTGTCTCTGCCTCCCAAAGTGCTGGGATTACAGGAGTGAGCCACCACGTCCAGCCAGAGGTTTTTCTCTAATGCAGGGTCCCTACCTCTGTGTCACTCCTCCATGAGTTGAGTTCCAACCGCAGAGTGTAAACTGACCCTATTGGCTGTTTGTGAATATTTTCCCCAAATAAGGAAGGGAAGGGAGATGTGTGAGTCACTGATATGCGGTTTTGAAGGGGAAGGAGAATGTGTGTGTCACAATGGTGGGACGTGTGGTTTCGAAGGGTGGAATAAGTGCAGAGTGGGCAGCCAAGGGAACAGATGTGTTATTGATTAGAGCTGACAGGAAGGTTTTTTATAGTAACTGGAGGCAAGGAGGCATGGAGAACAGGAAAGTTGAGCTTGAGAACAAAGAACAGGGAAGTTAACTGGCTCAACTTTTTTTTTTTTTTTTTTTTTTTTTGAGACGGAGTTTCGCTCTTGTTACCCAGGCTGGAGTGCAATGGCGCGATCTCGGCTCACCGCAACCTCCGCCTCCCGGGTTCAGGCAATTCTCCTGCCTCAGCCTCCTGAGTAGCTGGGATTACAGGCACGCGCCACCATGCCCAGCTAATTTTTTGTAGTTTTAGTAGAGACGGGGTTTCACCATGTTGACCAGGATGGTCTTGATCTCTTGACCTCGTGATCCACCCGCCTCGGCCTCCCAAAGTGCTGGGATTACAGGCTTGAGCCACCGCGCCCGGCCTTTTTTTTTTTTTTTTAAGATGGAGTCTCGCACTGTCACCTGGGCTGGAATGCAGTGGCACAATCTTGGCTCACTACAACCTCCACGTTTTGGGTTCAAGCGATTCTCCTGCCTCAACCCCCCGAGTAGCTGGGATTACAGGTGCTCGGCACCACACCCAGCTAATTCTTTGCATTTTTAGTAGAGATGGTGTTTCGCCATGTTGGCCAGGCTGGTCTCGAACTCCTGACCTAGTGATTCACCCGCCTTAGCCTCCCAAAGTGCTGGGATTACAGGTGTGAGCCACCGTGCTCCGCCTGGGTGAACTTTTGAAGAGAAATTCAGAGAACTAGATTGTATCTTACACCGCTACTTTGGAGGCCGAGACAGGAGAATCTCTTCAACTGGAGAGGCAGATGTTACAGTGAGCCCAGATCCCACGACTGCACTCCAGCCTGGGTGACAAGAGTGAAACTCTGTCTCAAAAAAAGAAAAGAAAGAAAAAAAGGCAATAATACTCAGGTGTTCTCTTCATCTGAAGTTCCTAGGTCTGTACTTCCTCACAGAGCTTCAAAATGGGCCTTCAGGAAGAAAGGATGGAGACTTTATTACACTGATAGTAGAATTATTTTTTATTATCAGTATATTATCCTAGCATCAATGTAATAAAGTATTTAAAGAATTTATTATTATTAACAGCATGTTTGGACTAAGTGTAGTTTTTTTACTTTTTTTTTGAAAATTTTGATTCTAAGGAAAACTTGAACATCTAACACACCCAGTCTAGTAGATTTATTTATTGTTAGCATTGTGCTTTTCTTTCTCCTTACATGAATATAGTTTAAGGTGCACAATTTAAGTGTAAATTGAGAATAAATTGCACATGTGATACTTGACCTTTAAATACTTGATAATGCATCTCCTAAAAAAAAAAGGTATTGTCATACTAAAACCACAGTACTAGTATTTCACTTAAATAAAAAATAATAATGTCATGAAATGTCTACTTTGTGTAGTAACCTGTTGGCCATTGCTGTCTTTTTTTGACATCTATTCTGACCTTTTGCTGATTTTTTTTTTTTTTTTTCTATCAGGTCGAATTCCTTATATATTCTGATTATTAATGCTGGATAGTTTGTAAATATTTTCCCCCATACTGTAGATTACCTCTTCACTTTGTTGTTTGTTTCTTTTGCTGTGGAGAATCCTTTTAGCTTGATGTAATCTCATGTGTTTATTTTTGCTCTTGTTGCCTGTGCTACTGAGGTCTTAACGGAAAAATCTTTACCCAGGCCAGTGTCCTGGATTGTTTCCTCAGTGCCTTCCTCTGGTAGTTTTATAGTTTCAGGTGTTAGATATGAGTCTTTAATCTGTTTTGACTTCATATTTGTTTATGCTGAGAGATGGCATCTGGTTTCATTCTGCATATGGTTATTCAGCTTTCCCAGCACCATTTATTGAAAAAACTGTTCTTAGAGCCAGGTGTGGTGGCCCACCTCTGTAATCTCAGCACTTTGGGAGGCTGAGGCCGGCGAGTCACAAGGTCAGGAGTTCGAGACCAGTCTGGCTAATATGGTGAAACTCCGTCTCTACTAATATACAAAAAAAATCAGGGGGGTGTGGTGGCACACGCCTGTAAACCCAGGTACTCGGGAGGCTGAGGCAGGTGAATTGCTTGTACCTGGGAGGTGGAGGTTAGAGTGAGTCGAGATTGTGCCACTGTATTCCAGCCTGGGTGACAGAGTGAGACTCTAGCTCAAAGAAAAGAAGACTGTTCTTTTCCCATTGTATGCTTTTGGTGCCCTTGTTGAAAATGAGCTGTCTGTAAATGTGTAGATTTATATTTAGGTTCTCTGTTCTCTTCCATTGATCAATGTGTTTGTGTCAGTA